CCAAAACCCGTGCCAGGAAGTTGTACCTCAACATGCTGACGAAAGTTGAATGCTGCATCATGGACGACGAAACATATGTGAAGGCCGACTTCAAACAGATCCCCGGCAACCTGTTTTTCACGGCCAAGGATAAGTTCAGCGTTCCGGAGCATGTCCGCACTCAGAAGATGTCCAAATTTGCGAAGAATATCCTGGTTTGGCAAGCCATCTGCACGTGCGGGAAGCGGAGTGCACCTTTCGTGACCCAGGACACGATGAACGGACAGGTGTACATAAAAGAGTGCCTCCAGAAGCGGCTGCTTCCTCTCCTGAAGGCCCACAACGTCCCAACAATCTTCTGGCCGGATTTGGTCTCATGCCACTACTCCAAGGACGTGCTGAAGTGGTATGCGGACAATAAGGTCAATTTCGTGCCGAAAATGTTCAACCCTCCCAACACTCCGGAGCTCCGCCCCATCGAGAAGTACTGGGCGATTATGAAGCAGCACCTTCTTAAACGACCTAAGGTAGTGAAGACAGTCGAGGAACTGAAGAAAGTATGGGTTTACATGCAAAAAACGGTTGATTCACAGGTTGTGCAGAATCTTATGGCCGGGGTTAAGGCCAAGGTGCGGGCATTTGCGTATGGACTGTAAATAAAATACGAGTAAAATGGTAAAATGAAGTTTAATAGTTATTTCTCAATCCCTGATAATTTGATGGCAATCGGATGAAAACTCGAATTTTGCGAATCAATTTTGTGTGTGGCAATTTCATCGTGGACACCCTTTACATATGAAATTTAATGTGGATTGTAGAATTTTTTGTATGTTACCAAAATTTATGAATGGTTTGCCACTAAATGTTGAGATAATTTATTGATTATTGAATTATCACACTGTATACCATTTAAAAGCATCCTGTTTGTGAGTTTTTACCTGTTTTCAAGTAAGGAGTTATCATTAAAAACAAATCGCCAGCTGGTATTTCCCATGCACTTTACAAATAAATAAAATCAAACAGAATCATCATGCAGAACAAGCTAGGATTTGTTATACTTCATATTTCACAAAATTGCTTTCGAGTGTTAAGACATCGTCTCCCGCAAAGTTTACATTTTTCCCTCTACCAACACATACATCAGGGCTAGATAGATCTCCACAGGATCTATAGAATCCACGCAATTTCAAAAAAACCAAAATACACAGCATTACGAAAAGAGGTCAGGTTTCGACCAATGGCAGATAATTCTAAACAAACCAAACGATTGGAAATGTATCTACCAATCTGCTAAAATGAACACTTAGTTAATTTTCAATAGGTAAATATTGAAAAATACCAAATGTCCAACTGTTGCAATGGTGATCAAAATTATCACCGAATGTCTGAAAACAGCGCATTCCCTAACACAGGCTTAAAAATCGAATTCGATGCGGTCCCACTGAACGGTGCTCATTCAATCACCGTAAGTGGGGGTGTCCAGTCCAGCAGCAGCAGTAGTAGCAGTAGCAGCAACAGCAGGAGTGCTTTCAACAACAACGAAAGGCTGTCCGCAAGCAGCGAGCTGCAGAGCGCATATGAGAAACCATAGAGGAGGGAAAAGTCCCACCGCTAGGCTAGGATCGGAATCAGTAGCTTGTCGTGCTCAGCTCAGCATTACTCAACCATCACTACAAAACGGTCCTTTTCAGGACCACCATAAATTTTTTTAAGAGTCTTATTTGGACATTTGTCAAGGTCATCAGTTCCCGCAAGCAGCTAGCTATCAAGGCTCAACCTGGTCTCTATAGAAGGTGTGGAATTGTAGGCCCGAATGTATTGGTGAGATTAATCATCGTCCGACCATTTTCCAGAACACGCTGGTAGGAAGTGTTAAAAATCCATATAGAATTTGAGAGAAGTGGGAATAATTCGCTTTGGGTGTATATTCAGTCCCCAGAAAGCCAATAAAATCAAATTTGTGAAAAAACTAGCACTCACGAGTTCAATCGCTCGAAGTCCCTCCTTTTTTACATATTCTGCACAAACGATACTTTCCGTCCCGCCCCATTCATATAATTCTTTGAATACTCTTTAACCAAAATTTGATGATTGATCAATTAAAAGAACTAAATGTTCACATTTGTTCTGTCCACTAGCGGTCCTACGTCAAGCTTCCGTTCGTGCCCCTAGGCACAGACCCTTCTACTTTTTTTTAATCGTCCATAACACACATCCATTGGCGAAACTGCAGCGGGAAATGTGTACAATTAATGGCTTAAGGACAAGGTTGGTATAATCCACAAATGGTCGTTGTCATGGCTTATTGCCTTGTAAAATCAGTCATGATAGCGGCCATTTGTGAATTCTATCAATCTTGTCCTTAAGTGGTCAGACGCATTCCTGGATAGTATTGGTTTTGCCAACTAAAAAGTATTCAAACCATCCAACCAACTCACGAATTTGGAATGATGGCAAGCATGACGAGTATTACATATGTTTATCTATGATCGCCGCTTCAGTGTCTTAAGGAAAATCTATGTTCGAATGAAATGTAAAGAACGATATCTTCACATTTGGCTACCGAGGTGTGAGTCCTACACCGTTCGAAAAAATCATGGAAATTTCTGCGATATCTAGCGCACACGTTACGAACGCTAGATTTGGCGTAAATTTACACAATATTTCATGTAAATTTAAGCACGATATCGCATAAATAAGCAATGTTACATACAAGTTTGCAAACAATTTCGATGTGTATGTCAAAACTAAACGAGGGAAATTATGCGTGATGATTTTAATTATAAATTTTCAAAGTTTTATTTTATTTCGATGTGTGAGTGGTAGTAAGAGCTCCCCCCAGTCCCTTTGTCAGTCAAAATTGGATCCCTTAGCAACAAAATCAAGAAATGACACCGATATTGACCATGCATCATGGCCCTAGTCTCAACCACTTCAAACTAGAGAACAACGAATAGAATATTGCGAATCACATACATAGATGAAGAGTAACTAACTTATTTTTTTTTTATCCTCGGGGGAGCAACAAGGACTAACAAGTTCCTTTCATTACTGAATCATCCAGTTTCCCTAGTTTGAAGTTGCAAGGACTAGGGTTCGGTTGTAGATCTCTCTGTTTCTTAGAAAAACTAGACAAGTTGTTGTATCATACAATAGTCCATACAGATACTTGTAACTTACAGTTCCCTTCGCTTAAACCCTCAGCTCAGAGCTAAATATTATGTTTTACACCCTTACCAAGCTGAAAATTATTAGTAGCACGCAGGCAAATATTTGCCGCGGTTTACTAAAAAGGAATGTTGGGAATCTCCGTGTAGCGTCCAGCTCGACGTTCATTTTTTATTTAATTTCTGGAGATGTTTACAAAATAAGCCCTAAACATACGTTTAACCAACAAATTCACTCATTTATGATGCCTGTTGATCGTATTTCACCAATTATGATTACCTTGATTATTGTCGTAATATGTCCTAATTGCCTATCGTTGGAAGCTACGCGCTTTGAAATTTTGCTCCGAATTATCTTAGTATTTTCTTCTGGATTCACTATACGGGAAGATACATAAATGGCGTTGCATTTTACACAGCAAAAAATAAATTTTAATATTACATCCAAGACGATGCACTTCAATCATGTCAAAAATCTCATGAATTTTTTATGGCCACAAAAATAAACAAATCCAGTAAAAGCAGCGTAATGTCAATTCATGCACTGTATTTGGCCTTTTTGGCAAGTAATATTACACCATATTTTTGACATGATTGAAGTGCATCCACTTTGATGTGATATCAAAATTATTTTTTTGCTGTGTAGGGTGACCATCCATGTAGAAAAATAGCTGTAATCTCATCACTGACAAAATGAACTACATTGGATTTCCGGCATCGATCACTGAATGGCTCTATTTATACCTGTCTGATCGCAATGCTTTCGTGATGGTGAATTCCGTGCTTTCCAGGACTTTCAACATACCATGTGGCGTGCCACAAGGTAGTGTTCTCGGTCCTCTTATTTTGATCATTTAATTAATTGATTAGTTAATTTAATTGTGTAAATTTCCCTTACTATGATGCATATAAATGGAGCGTCTTATATCATTCAAGTTTACATTACAGATCATGTAAATTTATGAGACATGTCATGAGATATTCCATATATCATATGCAACCGTCCATTTTTGTAAGCTACATTACTTGCAAGTTGCTGGTTTACGTGAAAAGGAAGTTTACGTGCATGAATGTTTGCATGCATGGATGATTACATCACCAGTAAAATTCAGAATTTTTTCGGTGTACATATATTCATATTCTCAACATTGCATAACAAACTGGTTCAATATTAATGCTTTCAGCACCTTTAGAGCGTTGAAGAGCGCCATTGTTGTAACATGATGTCCAATTTTGCCGACAAATGACTTCAATGACCCCCCGAAACCAAAGTTGCAGTGAAGTCACGAGTTGGCCCGTTCTTCGTATGCTATGCATGCATGCATGCATTCATTCAACCACCATTCCGTGCGGCTTCTGAAAGTGCAGTGGCCCCCTTTGCCCTTTGTCAGTGTTTGTCCCTTGGGAATCACGATTCTCTCTTCGAGTTCTCCCCGGTTAAGGGTGTGTTCGTGTGCCCATCCAATGTTTTGGTCCACCACAATCAAAGGCACTTTCGATGGTGAGTGAGATTTTTTAATGTTACATATGCGATAACAACCAGTACAGGGCCCCTCTCTGAGAGCACCGTGTTTTATTAATGAACATCATTGCTTGAACTTTTGCATTCAGGATGAAGATGTAGGTATGTAGGTAGGTTGATAGGGACCACCATCAGGAGAGGCGCGCATTTCGGTAAGGTTGGTAGATCGGTCGATCGGATCGCGGTGGGTGGTGGGGGCGGGTGAACCATCACGGAAACCAGAGAGAGAGAGATTGAGAAAGAGCGAAACGCATGCGCCTTATACCGGTTGGTGAGCGAATTTAATATACAGAGTTGGGTTTTGGTCGTACCAATCAATTCAACGGACTACTTACCGCTGCTATTCACGAGAGAAAGAGACTCGCGTAGTAAACCGCCAGACAATTCAACGACCTTGTTACGTCCTTCTCTTGACACTTGGACACTAGCGTTGCTGCAGAAGAGAAAAATTTCTTCGCCGAACGACGTCGGGATCGGAAGCGCGTCCGAGTTCTGGAAGATCCACTAGATCTGGTTTTATTGGTACAGATTCAGGAGGTCAGAGTCACTCCTGGAAGGGTTCGGAAGACGGGTTTTGTGTGGTCGCGAGTATCATATATTCTATGTGGATTGGATTCGAGGGGTGTTGTACTTGTTCGCAGAAGTGTTACACCTACGTTTGCAGGGCACAAGTGTTTATCGATACGCGTAAAGTCTGTGACCGACATAATTACTAGCAATTGGTTACGGTTGTCACGAGTGTGTGTGTTTCTGTGAGCCAAATGGGGAGGATTTGAGGAATTCTTTTTATACGAGTGTTAGAATTTTTACATTAATCCTCCGTTAAGTGATAAATGCTATCAGAATCTTCAAATTTTCTCTCAATCTCGCACAGATTCGACCGTCAAGGAAGAATAAATAACATCGAAGTAAAGCAAGCCATTCGGACACACAAAACTGGGTGAGAGCATAATCGACACACGGCAAAGAAGTTGCGTTCCCGAAAAGTGAGCAAAGAAAACTGCACAAGCATATGAATACATCGATAGGCCGACATCATTTATTGAAACATAAAATCGAATCATTGAGCCACGAATCAATTAAGTAAAAACAAAAACTCAAATCGACCGAGCAAAAAGTGAGATATTTTATTAAAAATAGAATCAATCAGCGCCAGGCGAAATTCGAAATTCAAAAATCAGCAAGCATACTAATTCGGCCAAAAGTGGAAGCTCAAGTGGCAGTCAGTTCAAAATTATTCGCTGCTTTCTCTTCCTCCCGCCCCTCTATCTCTCTACCTCTACCTTCCCAAACGCAAGTGATCTTGGCCGTCTCCAGCAGCCAATAAGTCGGGAGATAATACTAGAAAAACCTGTAATCTAATTTAAACTTCTGTTGTTTGCTATTGTTGTTATCCCAACGAAATGATATTGTTGTGATGTTGATGGTGGAAACGACGACGACGACGATGATGGTGTTAATTTAAAGTGCGAAGCCCTAGCCTCGATGCCCACAACGCCTCCGCCACCGACGACGATCCTTCTAGATCCATTGATCCAGACTGCAACCCTTACCGGAAGCCCACCGAGCCCCAAAATCAACTGCAACAGTCCTCGCTGACCGTCGCTAGCCATCTGTTCGGTGCCTGGGTGCACAGTACCGTCATCACAGTGACTGCAATTCTAATCGGATTATTTATTGAGCTACGGTAAGTATTGCCCGCTGTTGGGTTCCTTTGTGTTTCGAAATATTCATTGTTTCAAATTGTTTACCATATTGGGCGACACCTGGTCCCACTTTTAGATCGACATTCGAGAGGCAAGCTCACATATACTATTCCACGCCACATGCATACGATATGTTGCAGAACAAAACTCATTAATTTTATGCTTCACCTTCCCTGATAAGTCGATATGACAAATGCGCTTCCAGAAATACTATAACTCACTCTTTATTGTACGAAATTCGAATGAAAGGAAAATTTACGATATTAACAGGTCGTTATCAGGATTAAGTGCATCAAGCACTGTGATAAATTTCAGCGTCGCGCAGTAGGGTTGAAGCACAGAGAAACGGACATAGCACTGCTTATATTTTTGTTCGTAAACCATCATCGATAAAACGCTTCACTGTAGAGGGCAGCATGCTCAGTATTAACCAAATGACAAACTACGTGGCATCTGTCACAACATGAAAAAACTCATTTTAGGTTCCTCAAAATGAGTGAGCGACGAACAACATGTGAAGTGTTTGGTCTGTGGTTACATAATTCTGTGACGATAATCCGTCCAGCTTAGGTGAGGCTTCTCCGTATTGAACTTGATTTGCAAAATAGTCATCTATCCAATATTTTGGCTATTGAAGTAAGAGAGAAACCAAAATAGTATCCTGGTAAAATTTCTACCAGAGATTTATTAGAAAATTTGGTAAGGTAAATTATGGTTTCGGCACCCATTGATTGTTTACACTGTATTTTGTCACCTAAACAATTAAAACATATTCAAACGATTCCGTAGTCTTTCAGCTTTAATCTAATTATGTTTTTACGATTGAGCAAACATGTTATGCCAGGTTTTTCTTTAAATTAAATATACGCGGCTGATTTCGAGTTGCCGATATATGCAGTTCAAATTAAAAGGTTTCCGAAGAAAAAGACGTTGTCTACACTAGTCACACTCACCTGAGAAGTTTGAAGCGTTGTAAAAACGTGTTCAAACTGTTTTCAACATTTCTGTCAATTGGAGTTGATAAAGCAGGTATCTAGCGATTTCAAAAATGTGAGCTATTTCCTTTGATTTGCCTGTATCGCTAAGAGGAAGAGTTTGCATCCTGTGAACCATGTGGTGAAAAGCGATCTGCCGTTTCTCTCTTCTTCGTGAATAAATTTGATGTCCTTGTGAACGTTGCTTATGACCTCCAAAATTTTTGATAAATCTTCCCTTTTGACAATGCTAAAAATGTCATCCACGTACCTTTACCAACACTTGGGCAACAAATTCCTATCCTCCAGAGTATTTTCTAAGTTAGCCATGAACAATTCACATAGCGGTGAATTTCGACAAAAACATTAACAAACCATTGATTTCGAAGTACATATAGAAGTTTTGGTCAAGATTTAGTATTCAGCAGCAGGACAAATCAGCTGAAGTCACTGTTAGGATCAACATAAGATTCAATAAATGTCTTAGGGAAAATCGGAGTCTACAAAATCTCTTGTCCAGAGATCTACATTGGTCAGACGAAAAGGACTTTGGAAACATGGTAGTGGATACCTGCTGATTTTTAGTACCTATTGATTAGTATATAACTCGTAGATAAAATATGGATTCTTCAGTGGTTTTGAGTACTTGTCACTGATGAAGTCTGCAAGTAGTAGACGAAATACGCGTATCTGTCAAAAGACAAGCAATTTTAATGGAATTAAAAGGAAATAAACCAACACACTCAAAGCTCTTCATAAAGGGATTCCGTTAAGAGGTTCGACAAATTTAAAAGATTGATAATTACTTTATTGAACCTCTTCTCCATATCCTAATGTCCACACTTTTACCAACAATCAATACGAAACTACCGATTTTAAATTGGCTCACCACTTTAGTAGCCTATTGGTCCCAAGCAAACGATTAACGTACCATATTCTAGTTGAAATTCTATTACTACACTATGTTTGTTTTGATTCGCTATGAAAGTTTGACAGATAACATCAGGGGTGTGTGGATTCATGCAGAACATGCAGGGGTGAGTGAAATAGCTTGGGACTGCTTGGGACCGTTGTTCTGGTACTGAGTGAGCCAAAAATAATAATGATTTTCTTCGGGACCCAGTGGTCTTAGAGTTACCTCTATGCTTTTACCTTGACACTGCTTATTAGAGTTTGGGCATTAGTGGATCCATCTTGTTTCGACAGTTTCAACCACTCTTCAAATCCAGTGTATTTTCCAACACCTTAGAGGATTTGCAAAAGTTTGCCTTCATAATAGCCCGGCGTGTTCGGAGGGTTGACCTCTTTAGGTACAAAAACAACATTGTTGTCTTTGTACCAGTCTAAGACTGGTCGGACGTAATGGCAACATGCCAAATCCGGCCAAAACAGCGTCTGGCCTCCATGGGACTTTAGAAAGGACAGGATGTGCTCCTGTAGGCATTCATCCTTGTAAATTTATCCGTTAATGGTGCCAGATGTAATGAAGGGCTGACTCATTTTACCACATCCACAGATCGCCTGCCAGACACGAAATTTTTCGGCAAATTTTGACAGCTGCTTCTTCCGGACGGTCTCAAAAACGGCCAACATGGATTTGGCGACGTAGAACTCCAGTTTCCATTAATCTGTGTTTCCGATCCAACTACTTGACTTGACAATCCAGCTTCTCACTCTTCTTAATGTTTTTGATGAATGCCCGTAGTGCATGGTGTTTAACGAAGTTCACCAATGATGCCAGGATTGAAGAATGATTCTTCTATTTTAATTTTAATTTTATTCGGAGTTTCTACCGCAGTTTAGCACCTTGTACATCATTTTTGCTTAACACAAAAAAAAACTACCATAAACAAACAAGAATTTCCATCGCTTAAAGCACGCCGTGGACCCTATTTTGTAACTTTACTTTCACAAATATAAACAATTAACAACGCCATTGACGTCAAAATTGCTTCCGGCATCACTGCCAGTCAGATTGATGTGATCCCTCAGTCCTTTTGATTCCACGATTGCTACTGGATTTGGCTGGAATTGGCTCGGCTTTGACAGCTAATTGGCTCGAAATCGCTACCCGATTGTCAAGTTCCGTCCCAGGTTTTCACTTCTGTTCATGTTCCGACGCCATCACTGTAACCACTTGGACAACTGTGATGAAACTCTGTCGGCGTAAACATTACACTGTTAGCTAGTTTCAGACAAATTCTGGTATTTTTTACCAACACTCTAAAATTTTACAAACATATGAATGTGCCTCATTTTTTTTAATACAATCTTTAACATCCATTGAAATTCCTTGAATATTTGTTGTTCCTTAGGGTAAGTGTTCCTGTTTTTGGCCTTAGTGGTCCTATAATTGGCCATGTATTAAATTTCACATATTTCATTCTTTTCAAAATTTATTTCGATTCAGGGTTAGAGCATAGATTTTGCAAAATGTGATAAAGGCCATAAAGAACCAAATTGGACCACTAGTGCAAAATCTGGCACACTTACCTTACCACAAAATTTACGTGAGTCGACATCGGTTCATGGTGAGTTCGCTGCATTGAAAAATATTCAAAATAATTCATTAATCCTGCAATAGATACGCTTTCTATGATGTTGACGGTTTGATATTGATTAGTATTGAGACTGCCTGTCTAAATGCATACTTGTTCCAATATACTAAGTAGCCCGAATCAAGTTTTCTAGAAATTGGGTTCTATGGTAAATGCATATTCGTAATCTGCATTAGAAATGGAACCCAAACCCAAAATTTAATTAATTTTGATACACTGGAACTATTTTAAATAAGAACGATTACATTTGCAAAAATCACCTTATTAGCGCCCCTCGGTGTCACTTTGTATGGGAGCGAGCTGTCAGTTTGTCAGTTTAGTGTCAAACAGTGAAGTTATTATTTTGCTTTATATCTTGATTTAAAAATCGAGAGAAAAGTGTGTGGATTCGAAAAAACCATCGGTCTGCTCATTAAACAATGCTCTTTCAGATAATATTCAAAAACCTATATATTTTTCAAAATTAAAGAACCCAATTTACATTCATCATTTGTATATTGAGAGAGAGAGAAGGATTAGTATTTTCCATTTAATTCCACTACTTTATTTGCTTATCCTTGACAGATACGCGTATTTCGTCTACAATGTGCAGACTTCTTCAGTGTCTTGTACTAATACTCGACTAGTACAAGACACTAGTACAGTCGAGTATTAGTACAAGACACTGAAGAAGTCTGCACATTGTAGACGAAATACGCGTATCTGTCAAGGATAAGCAAATAAAGTAGTGGAATTAAATGGAAAATACTAATCCTTCTCTCTCTCATTATACAGGTATTCCACTAAGATGCTCACATTCATCAGGATTCATCATTTGCTTTTTTTGACGTAGACTCCTGCACGAAAATAGACTCTTGCGCTAAAGATAATCTCTCAGTTTTGACGTAGGATTACGTCTTTCGGCAATATAATGGGGGTACAATTTCCAAAATCCAAAATCAACCGCGTTACGAAAAGTGGTCAGGTTTTGACCACCTATAACTCTGTCAATAGTGAATTGATATTAATTCTAAACAAACCAATCGATTGGATTTTTTTCTACGAATCTGCTAGAATGAACACTTTAATAATTTTCAAAAGGTCACTATTGAAAATTATACAAATGTCCAACTGTTACAATGGTGATCAAAATTATCACCGATTGCCTGAAAAAGCGCTTCCCCTTAACACACAGATAAAAATTCTGAATTTTAATTGTGATGTAAAAATTCATTCACGTAAACTTGTATTTCATCTCACGAAACCAACCAACTTGTAAACAATGTTGTTTACAAAGATGGACTTTTGTATACAATATTTGCTACATTGTATGAATAGTGTCAGAACTTTACATGATATATAATGTAAACGTATATGATATGTGACGCTCCATTTATGTGCATCATATTGAACAGAAATTTACACTACTTTTTCGAACTGTGCAGATTTCAAAATTGAATTCCATCCGGT